CACTATATACTTCAGGCTGGCCCTGAACTCACTGTGTAGCCCAGGCTGGCCTTGAACTTGCAGTGATCCTCCTCCCTCAGCTGCCCGGGCGCTAGGATTACAGGAGTGGATTCTAAATTTTTGAACAAAAACTATTCTTATCAGATTGTGTGATAGCCTGAAGAAAAAAATGGACAAAGCATTAAAAATTATTTTGATTTTAGGGTAATATGTAAAACATTTCTATTGGTGGAGGAAATTCAACTGAAACTTAAAGCCTGAAGTGAGAACTGGCTCGGGAACTTTCTATGTTGGTGCGGTTGTTCTATATCTGTATCATCTGATTTAGCCACTGGCTGTGCCTGGCTGTTTTTAGTTTTTGCAGTTAAAGACTTTATTTTTTATTTTATTTTGTCTTTTTTCCTTCTTATCGGTACCGGGGATCGAACTCACGACTGCCTGCTTGCAAGGCAGGTGCTTATGCTGAGTTAAAGACTTCATTATTAAATTTACTTTTGGGCCAAGGGTATAGCTCAGCGGGCACAGTACCTGCCTAGCAAGTGCGAGGTCATGTGTTTGATTTCCAGAACCAAATAAATAAATAAATTTACTTTTTAGCTGATAAATACAAATTATGCAATTATTGGGGTACAGTGTTAACATATTTTGATACATGTGTACATCGTATGATGTTTAAGTCAGGTGAAACCTCTATCAAGCATTTATCATTTTATGAAAAAATATTAAAAATCCTTTCTAGCCTTTTGACCAAGATTTCATCGTTATTTATAGTCGCTGTGCTATGCACTATCACATGGAGCCTCTTTGTTTCTGAGTAACACAGCACCTGTGGCTCAGCCCTTCTCACGGGTGGCCACTGAGGATGTAAAATGTGGCCAGCGTGGAGGAGAAACTGCCTTTTATGTTTTATTTAAATGGCCTTATATGAGGGGCGGCTGCCCCACTGGGTGGTGCAAGGTGAGACCCTCATTACCTCCTCCCCTTCATCCATAGACACCCCCAGCCACAACCAATAACCAGCATCTGTCTGTGCATTCACAGCATATTTATTCCCTCCAAGTTTGCAGCACACAAACAGTATTGACCCCTGTGGCACCTGCAGCTTCCTCTCTGATTACCAGTGTGTTGCAGGGCTCTCGGGGCAGCCCTGACAGCTCTGCACCATTCACTCCCGCTGCTGTCTGGTGTGGATGTCCCTGCTGGTCCTCCCTCCATGGACGAGTGGAGGTTGTTTCCAAGCCATCCGAGCCATCTCTGACCTCCTGCTTTCCTGCATGTGTGAGCAGGTGCAGACATAGACATGGAATTTCTGGGCTCAGGGGAGGAACAGTGCCCACCCACACTCTGTGCTTGGTTCTCCTGGCCCAGTGCTAAGGGCCGAGTGTGGGCCTAGCCCTGTCTGCAATGCCACCACCAAGCCACTGTTTATTTTTTGATGTGGAGCTGCTGGCACCTGCGTCCTCCTGTGATCTCTCCTTTCTCTCCCCATGTTGAGAAGCTGAAACCTAGATTTTTATCACACAGGCTGTGATGAGCTCTGAAAATGCTGGGACATTAATAACGATTTATAGATGGCCGGCACAGACAGTGCTCATCTGTAGGATGAGTTAAGTGCAGACTTGAGGAAAATCCAGAATGCCCAGAGGCTCGTTTCTAAGGTTTCTCAAGCCACGCTCATTACACTCGTCCAGGGGCACGAATGTTAAAGTCCCGTGTGTTTACCAGCATGTGGATGTTTGCTGTTGAGCCCTGGATAAAATGAAGATTTATCAGGTACCGTGTACCAGAGTCACTTTCTAACCAAGGCAAACGAGGCACAGTCCTTGGGTGTGGCTGGGGAGCCTGCTGTGGTGGCCCCAGGTTAGGTTACCCCACTGCTTTCCCCTAATTTCAGAGCATATGGAAATAAAGACTAATATAGATTTCATGCTGCTGAGTGTGCGGGTACACACCTGTCATACTTGGGAGCCCGAGGAAGAAGGATCACAGATTCAAGACCAGCCTGGGCAACCTAATGAGACCCTGTGTCAAGGACTGAACAGGAGGCTCAGTGGTAGAGCGTTTGCTTAGCTCATGTGAGGCTCTGGGATTAATCCCCAGTACACTGCAAAAGTAAAAATAAAATAGTAAGAAGAAATTCAACACTGCAGGGGTTGGTGACTCCTGAGCAGGGTTTAAAAACTGGAGGAGGATCATAGTGAAGAAAAGGTCAGGTCCTTTCAATAGAAAGGCCCCTCCCGCAGCCAGAACCAGGAGCCTTCTGCAGGACAGAACCTGGGAGGGAGGGAAACTGATCAGATCAGGGAGCAGAGGCTCAGAGGCCCAGTCTCAAGGCAGGCTGGGAAGGTACACACACAAAATTGGGGTGTGATTGTAAATATCCATGCAGCAGACAAAGAACAGAAACAAAGTAGAAAATCCACCATGATTTAGTACTTGAGGAGGTCAAGCTGTTTACTTTTATGCACTTTCTCTTTCTCTCTGTCTCTCTCTCTCTTTTTCTTTTCTTTTCCTTTCCTTTCCTCTCCCTTCTCCCTCTCCCCTCCCCTCTTCTCTCCCCCTCCCTTCCCCTTTCCCCCCTCTCCCCCTCTGCCCAGCCCTCCCTCTCCCTCTGTCTTTCTTCTGCAGGGTCTCACAATGTAGTTCAGGCTGGCCTCAAACTCATGATAATTCTGCCTTGGGCCTCTGAGTGCCTGGCTTACAGGCATGAACCACCACACTTGGCTCCTCTGTCCTAATTCAATCATAATGTTCAGTCTGGGCTGTATTCTGCATACACTTTAGTATACAGTGCTCCCCGCTTGCACAGGGACACTTTGTTCCAAGACCCTCAGTGGATGCCTGAAACCACAGATAGTCTGAGCCCTCTGTAAAGTATTATTTTCTGTACATAGTGTTATGGCTCATATCTAGATGCCCCATAGCCCCAGAGTAGTCATAGTTGGGGCTTTTCCGAGGTGGCTGGATTTATGGTGTGGGACTGTAGATTAGGGGTGTGATACCAGGATTAGTCCACTAGTTGGTTTAACGTAGTTCTGGGTGTGGGTAATAGGATGCCCCGCCCTGGGTGTGAGTGGCCCCATCCAAAAGGCTCATGGCCTGGAGGGGATAAAAAGGGAAAGGGAGGCAGTGCTTGCAGCCTCCTTGCTGCCTGCCGGGAATGTTGTCTTGTCTCCTGTGCTGCCCTGTCTTTGAGCTAACCAGTGTGGTCTGAAACCTCTAGGAATTGTGAGCTGAAATAAACCTTTCCTTCTTTAACGTTGGGTGTCAGGTATTTTGTTTCAGTAATGAAAAAGTAAGACACATACCTACTATGATAAAGTTTAACTTGTAAATTAGGCATAATAAGATAGTAATGATAACAACTAGTAGAAAAATAGAATTATAACACTGTATTGTTAATAAAATTGTTGGTGTCACTGCTTTTACACTGTGCCGCCTTTATTAAGTAAAGCAAGTGTGACTTGAGCACAAGTATTGTGATGTTGTGGCAGTTGATCTCATGACCAAGACATTTACTAAGTTACTACCTGGAGGGTAGCATATCCACTATGGATATGCTGGACAGAGGAATGAGTCCTATCGCAGATGGAATAGAGCAGGACTTTGTGTGATTTCTTTGGCATGGCACACAACTTAAAACTTAGGGATTTTTTAAAATTTCTGGAATTTTCTATTTCATTTTTTTGGGGGGCCTGGAAATTGGCCTCAGTTAACTGAAACTACAGAAAGCAAAAGTATGAATAAAAGGGAATCACTGTGTAGCCTTTTCACTGAACTCTCTATCCAAGGAATACCTCGTCTGTCTTCCAATTATACAAGTGAGATTTGCATTAAATTATTTATTCAAATGTATTTCCGCCAGCTGGTTAGGTTTCACTCAGGCTGCCTTTGTTTGCAGACATCATGGTGGAAGTGTGTCAGTGCCAGTGGTTGGTGGGAGCCTACAGAACCGAGCACCAATGCTGCGAGCCTCCACTCCATTGTTTTCCATCCAGATTTTGAATCAGCTTTGCAGAGCATTAATTTTATTGGGAAATTTCCAGTCTGGCACTAACTCACCTTGTTTCTCAAACCTAACACATCACTCTGGCCATGTGAGATTGTTGGTACTGTCATTCTTCCCTGTTGAGATGAGTTCTAATCCAGCTCTAGGACCTGTGTGGTTATGGACGCACCCTTGGAATTGGGGAGGTGGTGGTCACATTTTGTCACCGGTTCCAGGCTTTGGCTTTCCTCCTGCGGTGCTGTCAGCTTGGTTGGAGGGTTCTGCTTGGCTCACCAGCCCTGCTTTTCTGTTCTCGCTTTAGCCCTGGCTCTGGTCTTTTGGGGGTTTTTTTGTTTGTTTGTTTTTTATGGCCTTTTGTTTTGTTTTTTGGGTTTTTTTTTTTTTTGAGAGGATGAGGGATGTAGGGATGTTACTTTTTTACTTTAAGACAATGTCTCACTGAGTTGCTAAATTACCTGGGCTAGCTTGAATTTGCAATCCTCCTGTCTCAGCTTCCCAAGGTGCTAAGGTCACAGGCGTGTGCAACCACCTCTGGCCCGCCCATAATTCTTTATGCTATGGCTCCTACTTCTTTTGGTGATGATCTCCCCTCATCTGCTCTCTCTAATCTCAAATTCAGCCAACCCAATTACTCTTCTTCCTAATACACTTTGGTTTTCTCCTCTTGCAGCTCTTTTTAAAAAGCCCTCAAGATTTTTTTAAAGGCCTCAAAGAAGGCACCGACCTTCTGGCTGATGGTTGAGCTCCTCATCTGGGCAATGGGGCTTCTGGCTGATGGTTGAGCTCCTCATCTGGGCAATGGGGCTTCTCACAGTCTGAGTGCCCCCCAGAGTGCTGCCTGGAGCTCCTCTCTAGCTGCACGAAGGCACACCCAGGCCCTAAAGAGATTGTTCCAGTGCTTGAGTCTTACACATGTTCTGACCTTTTTACTTCATCTCTGGAAATCTGTCCTAAAGGAATAATCCAGAAAAAAAACGGTAATGCACACATGTACCCTTACCAACATTATTTTTAATGGTGTGAAAATGTGACCAAGATAAATATCAAAGACTATAGAAGATTCGGCAATCGCTGTGAATCATCTCCCTGGAACTTTAAGCACACATTCAGAATGATAATCCTGACAGTTCAACAGCAGAAAAAATGCAGAAGAATAGGATAGAGGGGGCAGTGAGCCCACATTGTGGAGCCTGTCGTGTGCTTCATGGCCCCTGCTGGCTGCTCTGCTCGCCTTCCGTGACGGAGAGGCGGACAGAGGGCTGGGTGACCCAAGGTCGCAGTCCCAGTGTCGCTGAATTGGAAAGCAGGTTTTTCTGTGGTGTAGAATAGAAAACTGTGTCTCCCCTACAATATATTTCCTATTTGGAGGACAATATGGAAGGTCATTCTTTGGCAGTGGCCGTCTGTGAATATTATTTGACACTTGACTGGATGCGTTCCCAACACTGAGACCTAGGGACCAGTTACCTGCAGACCCAGGCCAGCTGTGACCTTTGCACAAGGGTGTCTCTTCCCGGGCCTCCCTCCCTTCCCCCTCTCTGCCTGCCATGCCCACATCTTTCAAGGTCCTGCCCAAATCCTGCTTCCCTGCGGAGGCCCTGTTGGGAGCCTGGCCTACTGGAGTCTGACACGAGAACTATCCTGGGAGAATCATCAGCACCCTCAGACTTGGTGTTTTATGTATTGGTTGTGCCTTTCCGTCTAACTAGAGAGCTGTGAGCTGGGTCTTGTGACCCTTGGTGTACTCAGGTGGCCCTTGGCACTGTGGGAAACCATCGTAAGGCTCAGCCTAAGTGTTGGCAGGTCGTGTTCCTCCCTCCAGTGCGGCTGCCCCAGTGCAGGGCTGCTCGGTCACTCAGGGCAGGTGGGTGAGGCTCTGGCTCCGCTGAGCAAGGGCTGTGTCCCCATGCAGCTCGGGGGCGAGTCCAGGCCTCTGCCAGCCACCCCCTCTCCTTAAAGGAAGCAGCCCTGCCTGTGTTATATGCAGCTTTAAAATGTGTGTAGATTTCTAGATAGTTGCTGAGTAATGCATGGGGTGGTCCCGTGCCCCACCTCCCCCAGTGTTAGCATCCAGGGTAACCATGGTTCAGTTTCTGTGCACAAAGAACTTGGCATCATCCAGTCCACACAGCTGGTCCAAGTTTTGTGGATTATAGATGACTTTAAAAAAATCATCCTGGAATCTGTCGTTTCCTACTTGAGCACTTTTCTTTCTATTCTGCCTGACATGTTTACTCTCTCCGTTGCCCTGAAGTCAGGGGATCTCCCTGGCTCTGTGCCTGGCTCCCCGAGTCCATCTTGGTCCCATTCACAAACCTCTCTGAGTTTTGGTTCTGGCATTTGAATAGTAACAACACTAACCTCATGGGATTTGTTTTTTCCCTAATGTAAAGTGTTCAAGTTAGGCACAGAACTCAGCTCAGGAGATGTTTGCACAGAGAGCCTTCTATTTTTCTCACAGCGCAGTGCAATTTTCTCCTTTAAATAATGTTCAAAATGAGTCTCCTCTGACATTTTCCCATTCCATCCCTAGTTTCCTGAGCAACCCCGCTGTGTGTCTAATGTTTCATTCGGATGACCCTGATTATGTGTTCCCTCTTCCTGTGAATGTGCTTCCAGTTCTATTTTTGCCCAGCCCCAGTGTGAGGTGTTTGCAGGCAGTGGCCTCCGTCCTCGCATTTCCAGAAGGCAGCGTATTAGAGGAGAGCCTTGGCGTGGTGCCATCTGTGAAACACGGATGATTTTATCAACCTCAGAGCCTTTCTGCAGAAACGAAATGGAGGAGTCATAGTACCTGGCACCGCAAGCTCGAGTCGTGTTAACGGGTGCTGATGGCACCGTGCCGCCTTTCCTGTGTGTTTCCCTACGGAGCTGTGTCCTTGGGCACCTGAGAGGCAGTGCAGTATCCATCTGGATCTAAACTTGGATTCCTTCATGGCTGCTTGTGCTTTTATGTTCTAAGGATAAAAATGGACACGAAATGTCACAGCGGCCATTCTTGTTGTTATTCTGTTTTCTTTCTCCTAAGTAGAGAAAAAAAAATCTTTATTAATTAGCATAGTAATCCCAGTACTGATGGTGATGGGGATGCTGGTGGTGGTGAAAGCCGATGGTGCTGAGAGCTTCTCCTGTGCCAGACGCAGGCCTCAGCTTCACTGTGTGAAGTCGTCGAGCCTCCACCACGACCCAGTGAAGCAGAATCCACCCCCAACCCCGGGGGTGGTCTCAGACAAATAGACCAGGACCACAAGGGCTTGAGTGCATTGCCTCTTTGTGGGGCTTGTGAGAGCGAGGACTGGGGTTTGCAGCAGGCTCTCCAGCTCCTAAACATGGTCGAGATGAATTCTTCCTTCTGTTAGTAGTCCCAGGAGACAGAGAATGGGAAAACATTCTGTTCATCTTTACCCATTATTTGCTTCAAAAGCAATGCTAAAGCCTAGGGAAACCTACGGTTAGCAAGGAATTAAAACCTGACATTAAATCAATTGCACAGGTTTCTCTCTTTTTAAATTCCCGTCCTCAGTGATTAAGGTGGCAATCAGATTAACGGAGGTGGGCCAGGGAGCTGTGAGCATCTTGGAACCCAGGAACACTTAAAGGTCAGACCGCTGACAGCGCCAGGTTTGTCGGCCTCCCGCAGCGAGAATCTGGCTGCCGTTTCATTCTGCTTCCAGAAAGCTGCGTCTGGAAACTCGATCCCAAATTCTGTTTCTCCCGCACCTGCTCCTGATGTCTCCAGTCCCTGTCTTCCCTGACGACAGGCAGCCCTGGCCCTGCAGGCAGCTGCACCACGCTCTGCCTTTCCCAAGGAGACAGAGCCGGGCTCTGCCCACGCCGTTCCCAGCTTCGATTACCAAGGGCAAAGGGTTGCTTCACTCAACAAGGAATGATTCAGTAAATCAGAATCTGGCCAAAAGTAGAATAATGAGTAACCTTTAAAGTGCAGGTTTTTAAAAATAGAAGGTAAACAGAATATAAGGAGACAAAAATTACTTTTAACACGATCCTGTGTGATCACAGCTTTATCTATGTATTTTAAAAATATGTACAAACACAGAAGCAAAACGCTAGCACAAGTAAAATGTTAATATACATGGTTACTTGTGAATGCTGTTGTAAGTGATGTGTATATTCATTTCGTTCCTCGTTTTGCAAATTTGTTCCTGGGAGCATGGATTCCTTTTCAGATTACAAGCCAGAGAAAAGAGGAGAGGGGACCTAAAATTGTTCCTAAGTGTTTCCCCATTGGCCAGTTGCTTGTGGTTCCTGGATTTCGCAGTACAAACCAGCTCTCTTCATCCCTGAGGATCCATTCAGGTCTTACCTTCTCCAGGAAGCCAGCCTGGACTCACCAACTCAGAGTTTTGCAGTTTGATGGCCTCTTCCGGTTCACTGTGACACGACACCATCTTTAAATGCATGTGGGTCTCACATCCTCAGGGAGTAAGTTGCTGCAGGGCAGAGTCTGCCCACCACCCAGCAAGTGCTGTGCAGACTGCTGGAGTTTAATTAGTGTCAGTTGACCACAAGGTCTGGTCCTCAGGGGAGGCCCTGGATCGAGGTGGATACGCCTTTCTCTCTGAACTTTGCTCCATTTCCTCCAATTCATTCACGTTGGCTATCAGTGCCAGCTTAATTTTATTGTAAATTGTTTGAGAAGAATTCCATCTGCTTTGGTAGGAATGACCCAGTCTGGCCCTCGTCTTTACAGGGAGATTGTAAAGCTATGAAAATAAATATGACCTATTTTGAACAAAAAGATGTTTTTCTTGGTGAATGGGGTTAGTGGAGTTGATGTTTATTGAAAGGAAATCAGTGCTGGGAGAGGAGGGGCCAAGCCTGGGTCTCATGCGGATCAAAGGCCGGTGAAGTGATGCGCGCCAGTTTCCTGGAGTCCCGCTGGGCTCGGGTACTGTACTGAGGCAGGCGAGGCAGGAAGAAGACTTTAGGAATTTACAGTTGGGGGGGAGGGCTCTGACATGACAGCCGGATCCCCAGCTGTAGGAGGTGTACGTGTGAGGCTGTGCAGCTTTCACAGAGGCTGTCAGGGCCAGCTGAGAGAAAGGATGTGGGGCGGGGAGGCTCAGCAAGGGTCGGGAACCCTACTCCTGTCACCCTGTCATCCTTGCATCCACAGCTGTAGGTCTCTCATACCTCCTGGTCTTCCAGCCTGCTGCTCTTTGGGTCTCCCAGCCCTGGTCACTGCGGTCTCTGCTCTGTGCCCTGCTGCTGGACGAGCCAGGGAGGGGAGAGAGCGCTGGAGGGCAGAGGAGCCCTCACCCATGGTGGGCAGCCTTGGTTACAGTAAGAGGAAGTGTTACCGAATGGAGTCCAGGGAGGCCCCCCCGAAGAGAAACGGGGACCTCAGCTCACCCCATGGGAACAGTTCTTGACCCTTGTCAGAGAAAAATAATCTCAGAACACATCGACGGGAGACATAGGGAGGGTCAGAAAGTAAAAGGAAATGAGAGCGGATGAGGACACTGCTCCGAGGACAAGGGCCAGGCGGGCCAGTTCGCAGGGCGAGGCCGCCTCTGGGTTAGCGGGAGTGGGCCATGGGTGGCGGAGCATTGTCTCAGGTGGCTCCTGGAGAAATCCTTGTTGCTTCGGAGGCAAATCTGGCTCCGTGGGATGATCGCTTCTCTTGGGCCAGTCTGTCTTGCACCTCTGCTAGAAGCCAGGTAGCTGGAGACCTCCAGGTGCTCACTGGTAGATGTCCCTGAAAATCTCTAGTCTGAAGGGGAGTGAGATAAGTTATGCAAATTCAGGGCTCTGCAACTTTTTGACAGATATTTCCTTAATGATTAGCAGGCCTGTACGCAGAGCTGAGCAAGGCTCTGACTCAGAGGGAAGGTTATAAAGGAGATAGATCTTTCAAGTTACGTATTGGGGACCTGTAGGCTTAAATGAAGTCACTTCCTCTTTTTTTTTTTTTTTTTAATAGCAAGAACTGCTTTTTAAGTCCTGATTGCCTTAGAAGAAAACACAAAACATGCTTTACATGAGCAATAGATTAAGGGCCCAGGAATTTGTCCTCTGTCCCGGGGTGCTCTCTGCTTGTGTCAGAAGGGTTGACACACTACTGCAGAGGTGAGACATGCTACTGCATGTTATTAAGCAAACTAAACCCAACACTTGCTTTAAAGCTTCATAGACAGTAAATGGCCGGTTGACAGGCCTGTTGTCAGGGTCAAGGAGGCTTCCAGCACCATGGCTGTCACAAAGGAAGTGAAAGAAGGGACACAGTGAACTCAGGAAACTGTTGAAGGTGTATTTTGGGGAAAGTAATGGGAGATTGAAGGGAACACTGGGGCAGAGAGACTCGGGCTGTGTGACCTTGAACAGGACGCTTGACCCCTCAGGTCCTGCCTCCATATCTATAAGGTGAGAATGTATACCTGCCTGTTAAGTATGTGGGTGGTTAGGGCTTAGTACAGAGCAGGCATTCAAGATCAGCCCAGAGAGCCTGGGACAGCCAGGGACGGGAGGGGAGGCAGATGAGGCATGCACCGTGGGTAATGGGAATGTGGGAGAGGAGGCCTAGATTGTGTGCAGTGTGGGATGCCCTGGCCATCCGTAGTCAGACCAGTGGGACAGATGGGTCAGGGAAGCAGGATCGGGCCAGTAGAGGCGAGGGACACAGGGCTGCAGTGCAGGGGACTTGGGATGCAGCAGACAGTACTGGTAGACCAGGCCAGAGGCAACTGTATGGTCTGCTGGGTCACAAAGGGACATTTAAATGCTCTCACTCCTCTTCGGGGCAGAAAGATAATTCTGATGAGCAGTTAGGATTGTGACTACAGGCCAGGCATGGGTGTGGGGGGCGGGCAAGGCAGGCCCAGGGCCCTGAGGCCTGGCTGCTCACATCAAGCATGTCTCTGCCTCAAAGCCCGTTCCTCTGATGCGGTCCTGGCAGACTGGGCCCTGGAAGATGGGCTGGGCCTGAAGTCAGGAATTTCCACAAAGGCTTTATTGGCCTTTACGGACTTGATGTTCACTGTTGCTTCTCTGTCCAGTTCATTGTGCTCCTTTCAACACGTGTGTGCATGAATGAACATCTCCTTCCACCCCACCCTCAGTTAGATCTTGTTCCTGGCCGAGGGACACAGCAGGGACCATCCCTGTCCTAGAAGAGCTTACAGAGGACACAGTGTGGACGCAGAAGGAGTCAGTGGGTGAAAAGGAATACACTGGGGCCAGAAAACTGGGGGGACTGGTAGCGAGGGAGGTTGTCTAGCTGGGTGATAGCAGGCAGAGCTCGGGCGACACTGGGGAACATTTGGGATGGAGGAGAGTCTGTGCAGAGGCCCTGTGGCAGGGCCTTGGAGGCGTTCCTACAGTGGGAACAGAGGAGCCCCAGGGAGAGGGGCTGGAGGGGCCGGGGACCCAGGAAGCATCTGGTCATTCGTGGGGTTTTAAAGATGGAGGAAGCCACTGAAATCTTGTTGGGCCTTCTGTTAATAATCGGATGCCACAGTCAGGAATGGTGGCACATGCCTATGATCACAGGCCTTAGGTGGTGGAAGCAGGAGGACCATTGAGAGTTTGAGGCCAGCCTGAACTGCACAGTGAGACCCCGTCTCAAAATAGTAATAGGGTCAAGGATGTAGCTCAGCAGCTCCGAGCTTGCCTGACAACACAAGGCCATGAGTTCAATTTCCAGTACCCCCCCAAATTATATATATATATATATATTAATAGTAATAATTATAGTAACTGTCATTATTTGATGTTGCAGTGATCAGAGCAGCTTCATACTAGTAAAGCTGGCACTATAGCTTTTTCTTCTTTTCCTTAAAACAGTCATGAAAGTATTAGGTGAAGCCAGATGCAGTGGTGTGTGCCTACAGTCCCAGCTACTCGAGAGGCTGAGGCGGGAAGATCCCTTGAGCCCAGAAGCTCAGGGTCAGCCTGGGCAACATGGGACCCTGTCTCTTAAAAAAACATACTAAAGGGTAAGACAAGTCCCAGTTACAGAAAAGGATCCTTTATAAATTACCTTTTGGGTCCGTGGTCGGATATGCCTGATGCAATCCTCAGGCACAGGACTCCGAGAGGGCACTCCCGTCTTCCATGAACTGGCTCAGAATGAAACGGTTCATCACAGGTGTGCGGCTGCCTGCTAAGTACATGGCAGCCACCTCCTTCTGTGTAGTGACATTAAGAGTAAATACACTCAGAAGCAAAATACATAAAACATATTACTTAAAACTCCTTGCAAGGAGTAGTTTTCAATTTCATGTTAATGTCTTTGTTTGTATTTATTTATTTACTTTTTGGTGTTAGTTCCAGGGATCAAACCCAGAGCTAGAACATACTATTAGCTCAGCATTGTACCACTGAGCTACATCTTCAGCCCTTTTGGTTCTGTGTTGAGACAGGGCCTCTCTGCGTTCCCCACGCTGGGCTTAAATTCAGCAGCCTCCTGCCTTAGCCCACTGAGGAACTGAGATTATAACGTGGACCATCAGGACTAGTTTCACGTCCTCTGTTCGGTGTTTCCCAGCTTGGTTGTGGCTGCTCTGAATTCACCTGCTTTGGTTTGGAAGCTTTCTGGGAGTGTTTGTGGTCCCAAGACCTCCTGAGCTGCTTTGGCTCCAGAGACTCTGGGCGCCCGGCCAGAGCCTGCCCCGGCTCTTTGCCTTATCAGAGAGAAGTCTGTCCCCTGCCTGAAGTTCTGATTACCCGCCAGGAAGTGTGGGCTTCTGCTCATGGCTGTCTGCCCACTGGCTGAGATTCCAAAAATGCTGTAGCCCCTTCCTACAGTGGAGCGGAAAGTCGTCACCCTGGGTTGGCCCTCCCAGGAAGCCATGCTGGGTTTCTTTCCTCCTGTTGCAATAGAGGCAGTCATGTGCCTTTGGAATTCTCTACCAGTCTGCTTTTGAGATTCCTCATGTGGTGAATTACTTACACAAAACTATTCCTTTTTTTATATCTTTTCTTTCTAAACCAGGCTGTTAATTTGGTCTTCTTACCTTATTTTCCCCCAAACTGTAAAAGATTAAAAATTAACAAGCAAACAAAACTCAAACCAAACAGAACAGAGTACTTGCAGACTCGTGCTTACTGGCTTCTTATAAACACCCTGATACCCAAATGTCTCAAAGGCGCTTCTGTTAGGGATTATTTTCTTTGGCTTTAAGCTTTTTTTTTTCTCCCTGGTACTGAGGATTAAACTCAGGACCTCACAAGTGATAGGCGAGCACTTTTCCTCTGAGCCCTTTCTTAATGATTTATTTTGAGACCGGGTTTAATCAGTTGCCTAGACTGAGCTTGAACTTGAAATTCTGTCTGCTTCAGCGTCCTAAATAGCTCTCTGTAAAACTTAAAAACAAAAGCGTATATCCTTAAGGAGACCATTAATCAGCTGAGAGCATCTTGTGAGTTAGTTAATCAGATCACTGAGATAGGCCTTTGGTTTTGCAGGGGGAGGCTAATAAGATCTATTTTTGAGACCAGTTTAGCCACCTGAAGCCTCCCAGTGACCCAGCTTGAGGTAAAGTGCCTAACACGAGGTAGGGGGGGCGACCCTGGGAGACGGTGGCCGTGACAGGGAGACGGGAGAGGCGTCTCTGCAGGCCAGGCCTCCCTCTCTCCCTTCTCTCTCAGCACTGGGGTCCTCTCTCCTGTGGTCCCTTCTGGGTGGACACTGGGGCTTCAACCTGGTCCTTCGGGGGGCCCTGGCCCTCCTCACCAGCTGCCTGCAGGGTGTTGCCATCTGATGTGCCCGTGCTTCCCCGGCCATCTGCAGCCCAGCTGGGTAAGAGCGACCCTGTTCTCTGGGTCTTGTTCCTCCTTTTGTGCCTCTCGGTGCCACCTGACTCTTCGATGGTTCTGCCTCCCCCTTTTTTTTTTTTTCTAAATACATTTTATTTCAAGGAGAAAAAGAAAAAAATCTAAAATAAAACTTCAAAACACATCAATGTGGGGGGCAATAATGGTATATACATTGCACTCTGTCACCCCCAAATCATTCACCCAGAGCACAAGACATCTGCCTTCAATTGTCCAAACAATACCAGCACAAATCTTTCTCTTCAGTGGACTCAGAGAAACCAGTAGGATAACTGCCTTGTTTTTTATATACATATGCATATATATA